TGGGACAACATTTATCGACACACACCCACCCCCCATTTGCACATACCCGGTGTACCGATGCGGTCGAGCACGCGTCAATCACGGGTACGCGCGCCCGTGTCTTCAGGTTGAGTGCATTCTACATCAGATTCACGATATCGAGTCTTCGGATTCGTCTAGAAATATAGGCTAGAAATACAATGTTAACGTATTTTCGAATAACTCGAGCTTGTAAGAAGAACAGTCTGTCGAACATGGTATCGGAGCACGGATCACAAGCGCCCGAACTTGGCAACTCTCTCTCTCTCGATTTTGTCTTAGTGAGGTTTTTTTAGAGGAAAAGAAAAACGTTTGTCTAATAGATGGACGCTCGATTGCATGTTCACGCTAGGTATTTTCTTCCGTAGGCGGTGGACCGGGGTGTCTATATCGGAGAATAGTGTTTGGCATTTTCTTTCGCATCTATGCCGTTGGTCGTTTTTTATTTGATGAACAAGAATGTTAGGTTTGAGCGATTGACCGCATTAACTGGTAGGTGCGCATAATGTCTGAGGCCGAAACATTGATCGTGCACAACTTAACATGGACGAAAACTTGCTACATGATGTAGAGAGCCACCCTAAGATCCATATATGTAACCAGGGTAAATCACCAAAGTTTCGAATGTCAAATAGAATTGGTCTCGTTAAATGCATATTTTCAAATTTATTTTTAGGATAAGTGTATTGAAAGTCCTAAAACTTGTCACGAAAGTGAAATCGAGCCCTAAAACTTTTTAGAAAGTGCAATTAAGTTGTAAAAAATTGTCAAGTTGGTGCAATCAAGTTCTTCCATTTAAATTGGTCCAACTTGATATATGGGAAATACTAACGAGTTTTGAAACTCGATTGCACCAACTCGATAAGTATTAGAGCTTGACTGCACATTTTGAAAGTTGTAGGACTTAATTGCACTTTCGTGATGAGTTTTAAGACTCGATTGCACTTTTTGAGAGTTTTAGAACTCAATTGCACCTTTCGTGACAGGTTTTAAAACTACCAGTGCATTTATCCCTTTATTTTTTGGTGTCGACCTATTGAAGTTGAAAGGAAGATACAAAACATAATTTCTAACCTTCAGCGACCGATTTAAGTTCGTCCTTAATGGTGGGTTTACCATCGCCTATAATGTTAGTACTTCGAGCCATGTCATTGTATTAACGTTAATCGTTACTGCTATGGACAGATCAATTGTTGTTCTATCGGATCTAGCAATTTTGTCTAATGAATGGGGCATACCATAGCGATTAGGTGTTATTGGTTTATGAATATTATTGATTCGAGCAATCTACGTAAAATAGATTTCCGTTTGTCGGGTACTTAGGGTGCGTTTGTTTTGCTAAAAATGAATGATTTAGAAAAATTTCCCTAAAATCGATTGCCTGTATCTCTTACAGCGATGAACGAACGAAAATTATTTCTACCGTCGGTGCAAATATTCAGACATAAATTATCGTTTTGTAATGAAAATATTTTTAATTAATTAATTATTTTAAGCTATGTAAATGATTATTTTTAGGATATCATTTTACAAATCATTTATTTTACGCGAAAAACGGAGTTATTAGAATCTGCTAACCAAGTGCCAGAGTCGAACACATGATGGGCCAAATCCCGCAAGAGAAATGCTCAAGTGTTGACCATTTAGGGAAAACTATGTGTTAATCTAAAGCACTTCGCCAACATTTTTATTCGTATTTTGCACCGGAAAATTCGAAATTCGCCCGCAAAATCAAGAGTAAAATTAGTTCAATGATCCAATCTATTAGAAAGTGAAGTATGAGAACCAAAGTTCAATAGACCAATAGTGTAGGGACCAATTGTGTAACTATCCCTGGTGCTTGGTCAGCATGCTCTGTCGATATTTGAATAGAACTCTAGGATCGGTACTGAAATCGCGATTGGAGATTAGTTTAGGGACCGAATTTGTCGCGGAATAAAATACAATGACCAAAATCGAATAAGAAGCAATGGTGCATAGACCGAAATTTCTAATTTTCCCCGAAAAAAAATCTAGACATATACAACATAAGTATTATAATGAGAAATCACATGTTCTCAAGTTAATTTCGAAGAAACATGTTTGAAGCAAAGTTTTTTTTTGGTTTTATTTTAGGAGATGGGTTCTATGGCGGAATCGATAACTTATTTCGTACAGAGCTGTATGTATACAAATCGTGCTAAAATTTAATCGACGATAAAACTTGAAAATACATCAACTTCAACGAAATTGAATGCATACAAACTATGCCGGATTTTAATCGTCAACAAAGCTTTTTTTATGCAAAAGATGCAATGCCAGAATTCAATCGACGATGCGAATTTGGAAACTAAAGCTAATGTGCACGAAAGTAAAGATCTTTCATGTTTGTTTGCTTGTGCGGGGGTCTTCAGTAGACGAATGATGGTATTTTATAGTGATCGTGCCATAATCGTCTCTGAGCGGTTCTCCTACAGTTATAGCCATGTTCCCTCATCTACGAAAATCTTGTGCCCATACTCTCACGATGCCATGATTTTGTCTTAAAGCAGTTACTCCCTTAAAATGGTGTTTTGGTTGTCCCGCGACTTCCTCATCTCCTTTGCTTTCGCTCACCAGTTGGTTTCAAATTTGAGAACTCACAACTGCATCCTGACGCCCTCTAGGTACTCAACCTTCTCTTGGCGCTTCAACCGGTGATCCATTGCTCCTTTTAAATTGATATTCTCGTCAATTATCGCTAACCATGGTCGTCAATGGCCATCGACGGACTTTAATATCGATAGAAATGCTTATGGCCGACGACAATGGCTTACGTGTTCAATAATGACCCGCGCTTTAATCACGTTCCTATTTATACCAACGACCTTGCCAAATTTTGGTGCATACATATATGGTTGAAAAATATATATATATATATATAATTTATAAAATTAAATCATGTTCCTCATTGAACAATCTTGATCTGTATAAACCAAAGATTTCCCCAGTGAACACTGGTCTGTGCAGTATTTGGTTGGATGTAAACTGACAAAGGCACAGTAGTACCCCAATCACTGCTGAAACCCCCACCCCCCAAAAAAAAAAAAAAAAAAAAATTCAGTTTTGGCTGTTGGCCAATGGGCGGTCGATACGTGGCGGCCCCCTCCACCAGTCGCAGCTGACAACTTCCCCGGAGATATCAGATGGACAGAAAAAAAAAAAAAACAACTGTGGCCGACAAGGCGACAGGAGGACACTTGTGGACAGCAGCCTCGGGGGCCTCGCGCCCGTCCACGTGTCCGGAACGGACGGTCGGATCCCTCCCCCCCCCCCCCCCCCACAACCCCCCTAATGTTGTGCCTCGGCAGTAGCCCCAGGCCCTAGCGCATGGAAACCGCCATTTATAGTGAAGACGCACGTCACCATCCCGCCTCTCCAAAAAGAAAATATCTTTGATTGGTCAAATTTCTTTGTGATTTTGGGAAGTCGTGCTGAAATTGCTACGATCCTAATTAATTTTGAAAAAAAAGGAAATTTATAAAGAAAAGGAAAAAAAGTCAACAAAAATCTCAAATTATATCAATTGTATAAGTTTATTTTAAACTTTTTCTTGACATCAAGGATCTCAGAGTATGTCCACTCTAATATATTTATTATTAATTTTTTTTATGACATATTTACTAACTGTTAATATTTCGTTAGATGATTTTTCAATCAAAATAAAATCATTACTTCCGGCGTCCATATAAGCAGATTTTTAACGAGTTCATTGATAGAATGTTGATGGAGGGAAACTTTTGTACATATACAAGTTTGAAATTTTTGATATCAGAAAAAAAAAATTTATGATAAATGTATCACAACGAATATAGTTTGGGGTTTTTTTGTAATCTCCCCTCGAAAAATGGAGCAAACCCAACATGGGAGACACTAAGATGGTGAATTAGTTTTTTTTTTTTACAGAAGTCCAAAATTAGATTGGTACGCAATACAATATGGTTACATTGCATAAATAGTCTACAAATCACTAGAAAATGTATAATGAGGGACATAATAAGAGGATTTTCGACAGTAAAAACATCAACAACGTGACTTGTGGTATCTACATATAAACTATCGATGAGGGAGTTTTTGACTTGCGTGGCTCTACGTTAGAACCACAAAATTCCATCCACTTTGCAAAATATCTTCTCTTTTTATCGGTGAAGAGCATGTTGGATCGCCACTACAAGTACATACAATATTTTGTTAGGTATAGTATTGCGTTGCTTAAGCACGCAATTGTAATGTGCACTTGATTGTGACATGCCTTAGATGCATGTCGTGTCCATTTACTCAAATATCTTAAGCTCTCGAGTAATAACTTCTTTCGATATGGTATCTGAGTATATGTCGAGATTTCAAATCCCAGTACTCCAATTCGTACTCATTGTTCGTGACAGATTCAAAAATTGTTTGCACCGTAGAAGCCGTGCTTATTTCACAACACACAGTCGAGTCGAGCATGCATAAGTGAGAAGAGTGTTGGGTGTAGTCCCGCATCAATGAATACAGGGTTATAATATGCTCTTATAAGCATCCAATCTCACTCCACTTAACAATTTAAGTTCTTCAATTGGTTGTTCTTAATCTATTTCATCATATTTCCTTTTCGATCGAAACCAATTACTTATACCGTTACGTTGGATGTAATAACCAGGAAAAATACATCCGCCTTCTTCGGACAATCCTTCTGGACATCGTTCATTGAGGCCGGTCTCTACATAGATTTGAGAAGTAACTACTACTAATAAATTTTTTTTTTGGTCAAACTACTACTATTATCATCACCTAAATTTTGCCCTTGGACCCAAATCAGCCCCATGCTAAACCGGGAGACGTCGCGATCATTAATTATTCGATCGATATTCCTTAATTTGCTCAGGGTCAAGTAAGTAATTGCGGGAGGAGCCGGGGCGATCTTGGTCATTTCACATGTCCCTCCCACGGGAAAAATTAAAATGAATATAGAAAATCGAAGGCTAATGCAGACGGATATTTCTCGCAGGCTGAAGCAGCAAGCTGCTCTCGCCTACTTCATCGTCATCCTCGCACCGCGAGAAACAGATAAGCGTGCGCACGCGCGGACCAGGCAACCGCTCGACGTCGCACCCACCAAATGTGATCCATTGCCGACACCTCAAGCATCGCCGCGACGCTACGACAGATCCTGGGTCGTAAGGAGAGGAGGAAGAAGTTGGAGGAAGAAGGAGAAGGAGGGAGGAAGGAGGAGGAGGAGAAGATGCAAGATATTCACTCGATCGCCGGGGGGCGGATGTTCGGAGCAGCAGCAGCCGCCGCGGCCGCCTCCGTCGGGGACCGGAGGCTACGACCGCACGGGCACCACCACCACCACCACCCGATCCACCAGGCGCTGAAGTGCCCGCGCTGCGACTCGCTCAACACCAAGTTCTGCTACTACAACAACTACAACCTCTCCCAGCCCCGCCACTTCTGCAAGAGCTGCCGGAGGTACTGGACCAAGGGCGGCGTCCTCCGCAACGTCCCAGTCGGCGGCGGCTGCCGGAAGTCCAAGCGCTCCTCCAAGCCCAAGCCCTCCTCGTCCGCGTCCGCCGCCCCCCCGGCGGAGCCTGCGGCGGAGGCGGAGGAGGATGACCCGCCGAGGGAGCGGAAGTCGAGCTCTCACTCCAGCAGCGAGAGCTCCAGCCTCACCGCGACGACCACCGCCGTCGCCACCGAAGCAGTTTCCGCGCCGTCTTCGGCGTCCCACCAGTCGAGCTTGCTGAACATCAACGATTACAAGTCGATGATCTCTCAGAGCATGAACATAAACGCTAGCGACTCCGGTGGCTACGAGCATCCGGCGGTGGAGGGCGGGCTGTTCTCCGACATCGGAAGCTTCACGAGCCTGATCACTTCCTCGAGCGACGGTCCGTTACCCTACGGGTTCAGCGCCGTGATGACCCAGCACGGTCAGGACCAGGCCCAGCCGAACCAGTGGCACCACATGGCCGCCGGCGCCGACGCCGGCGCCGCCGACGAGATGAAGATGCAGCAGGAGATGGGCGGCGGCGGGTTCATCGACCAGAGCGTGCTCGTGGATCTGCCCACGTCGACGTCGCAGGGGAACAGGTCGAGCGGCGGCGGCGGCGGCGGCGGCGGCGGGGGAGGTTTTGGGCCGTTGGATTGGCAACCGAGCGCCGATCAGGGCCTGTTCGATCTCCCCAGCGCCGTCGATCACGCATACTGGAGTCAGAGTCAATGGAGTACGGACGGGGACCAAGACCCACCAGGCCTGTATCTCCCGTAAAATCTCTCCTCCTTCTCTCTCTTTTTGCCTTAACTCCCAAAAAATCCGGACGCAAAAAAAAGGAACTTAAAAAAAAATGACAAATAAACGAAAAAAAAAGGTAAAGAGGAGGAGAACGTTATATCGAAATTTATATTTTCAGTAATTGACTTTTTGTAAATTTTTTGTTTGCGATCTTCTTGGTTTTATTTTTAATTTTTTAAGGGTTTGTTCCGGAAAGTGGCATGGGTTTGTTCTTGATGTTCATGTGCAGCTACGAGCTAACCTTCCCTTGCCCATTATTCCTCTGGTTTGGTTTTTCCCTTTTTATTTTTTATTTTTTTGGGGGTATTTCATGTAAGCAAAAACTAAATTATTGGCGGAGGATAATAGACGGGATTATAGAGTGGTTTTTGACGTAACCAATTTGCATGCCGACTCGAGAGCGCGCCACGTAACCGCCGCTTCGATCTCGGCCGGTGATTTTAACGACGCCGATCGCTTGGGCCGTGGGGGTGGTGGGGGTGGGGGGGGGGGGGGGATCGTACGGCCCAGATTTGGAGAGAGGGCAGTGGGTGGGGCCCGGAGGGAGGGAGGGAAGGGGGGACGGGGGGGGGGGGGGGGGCGGAGGCGCAGCGAGGAGTCGCATGCGCGATCATGACTCCACGTGGCGATGGGGACGGGACTTCACGGAGTGGAGGACACGTGGGGGCCCGTGATTGGGCGGGTGGCGCGGCGGTCGGTTCGTCCCCGACCCGACCCGACCCGACCCGACCCGACCCGACCTTCTTCCCCCTTCCTTCTCCCCCGGCCGCGCTCTCCGGCAGTTCGCTGTCTGCCCGCTGAACCAAACCCCTCCCCCCCCCCCCCTCAACGTTTTCAGTGCCGGAACGGCAAACTTTTTGCATGCACCGGCGCAAGACGAAGTACGAGAGTTTCGTGTTTTTTTTTTTCCTTCATTATTTTTAATGCTCGATTAAATCCGTTGTGCTTTCCCGTGCGGGAGGTGGCGGGCGGGCGGGCGCGACCGTGCGATTGGTACTCAAATGTGGTGCTTATGATGATATTTCTAGTTGCGGTTCTGGGCGTGTGTGGTGGTCGATCACGATTGTTTACGTCGGCTTAGGTCGGCACGCGAAATATCTTCTCGGGGCGGCGCGTCAGCCCCGGGGCCGGCCCGGCGTCGGCGTCGCGGGATGGGGACGGATCGGATGACGTGGAGGTGGCATGGGCGGTGGTGGGGGGCCACGCGTTAGGTGGGTGGTTGCTGAGTGGTGGGGCTGGCCACGTGCGGCGGGAGGAGAGGGGGGGTGTGGTGGTGCGTGCCAAGAGGGATGAGCTCTTGGGGTGGGGGGAGTGGGGCGGGGGTGCGTGGGTTCCAGGTCCTCCCCACCGGGCCGCCACCACACAGCGTTGGTTTTCTTGGGGCCGGTTTCGAATTGAATTTGTTCGCTGTCTTTCCAATCTTGATTAGCTAGATACGTCGTCGGTTACATCAATTCGAGGACGGCGACATCTACGAGATGTCACGTACGTATCGAATTCTGACAACCGTCCACCTCGTCAGCAAGTTATGTAATTTTGCGTGGGGGACGATCTCTCGTGACGGATCTCTCGATCAAGGACGGCCGACCACATCGTTGATGCACGCAAAACCTCTTCTTGGTAACGCGGGCAGGGGGTGACCATCGCCCATTAATGTGCGTTCCCTATTAAAGGGTCCGCTTCGTAGCCCATCCTACAGCAAAACGTGCCTCGAGTTGGACTGACTTTGGAGAAAAAGCTTAATGGAAACCTAACCCGCGTTCCTCGAAGAGGGCCTAAGCGGAACGTGTTAACCTCAAGATGCGTCCCCACCACCACCACCACCACCACAAGGAGTGGTCCAAGGAATAGGTTGTCAGGAAAGATGATGCAGCATCGGCCACCGCACCGCCTCTCAGGAATTCCTGCAAAAATTTTCTTGTTCTTTGGGGGGGGGGGGGGGGTGTTGTGATTGTGACCCGCCATTACTAGGGTTTGCCTAATTTTGGAGGGGCTAATCATCACCTAACGTGTTTGACAATGGAGGGGTCAGGGGGGTCCTTGATGATGGAATTGATGGGGAACGGTTGGAGTCCAGATGGGGTTTCCTTATTCCAGTGTTCTTGTTGATCTTCTTGCGGAGTATATTGATCGCTTGAATTGCAAGAGAAGTGGTTGAGGTGGAAATCCCGCCGATTCTTGTTTAGTGTACTGCCTGCGCTTATCGATATCGACTAAGCCGCGTGCTGCGAGGCGTACGTTGAGGTGGAACCCGCGACCGATCTATCGGGAAGTTGCCGTGTTCTTTTTTCCCCTGGAATCGTGGTTCGGTTTACTTCCGGAACAGGACCACGGTAATTTTGGGTATGATTGTGATCGATGAGTTGCTTCACTTCGCCTGTCGATGATTCTGCTCCGGCCTACACTCGAGAAATCATAGGAGACCCCGTGCCGACTCACATTGCTGAGCTGGATGAACGAGTTCATCGTCACTCTAATCAAATGGCGCACCCTCTGCAATGATCATGGAGGTCCGTCATATAAGACCTAAGTCCCTCTTTCGACAAGAACAATCAGTTTGGGTCCGACTGTTGGTAAGAGCATTAGCTTCATTAGTCTTTACCGAAGTCACCAGATGCATAGAAATTTTTGTATCACAGGATTTTGGCGAAAGCAGGACCAACAACATCGATACTCTCAGAAGTATATGATACGATTGTAGTTGAGTCTCTCCCTGTATACATGAAAAATAACAATGCAATTTGTGACGACTATTTCACGATTTTACGAGCAATGTCATCATCCAAATCACGTTGGCTAATGTACTTCTGTTTGCAGCAGACGAAACGTGTCCACCACGGCCTGTTCTGCTGCTCCTGCAATTTCGTCCGGTCGGCTTTTGCCATCTTTATCGGGCTGCCATTCCATTCGAAGGGCAATCTGTTCATGCGCGAAAGACTCAACAGTGAAAACATCTGTGATAATTCTCTTGGTATTGTATAGGATGTGTTGGAGAGGAATTGAAGCTTACAATGGAAATGAAAAGGACTTGGAGCTGGTTGTACTGCTATTCGATTTCGAGCGAAGAGAGATGGTACGGAAATACGGTACTGTATCCGACTCCGTGGGACGAGTTGCGATTGGACTAGCTGCAGAGAAATAGGCGTCGCCGCGAACCTGTTTCTTTATGAGTATCTGACCTGATTTTGTTCTGGTTTCCGACATCACGCTTCCGAGCATCAGCTTACTTTCGACTTCAAAAGCATTTTCAAATTCCAAACTCCCAGGACAATCTTGTCTTTGGTTAATGTTGGGAGGAACATCATGCTTGATTGCTGCCGCTATATATGATACTGCAGAAATTGGCGTCGCTGATGTCTCACCTGGAATCTGTAACATCGGACTGTACCATTTAAATTACCACGAATAAGATGGCATGCAACATGTATGCGTGTTCGCTATTCACGGAATCCTTCCTAGTTTATGTTTTTTAAGTATCGACATGTCGAGTGGAAAGATGTATATTACGAAACACAGTAAGGAGCCAGCATGTTCTTACATGTCCATGTATCGGCGGCATTTCAGGCGAAACATGCTTAACCAGAATCTCGTCTTTCACATGAACATCTACTTTCTTCTCAATCGCAACCTGTTCAGGACTGTGTATCTCTACTTGATCCTCGTGGAGCACTTGCTTTGCCTTGAATTTTACGACATATGATGTCTCCGTCCATAGAGCATGTCTAGTCACTTCGCTCCCGCTGTCCACATCTGAGTCAAGTGTGCAGGAAATGGCATTATGGTCGAGTTCACAACCTTGCACCCCACACTTTCCGTGAGAAGGATGTCGCTCACCAGAAGCACTTGTATCTTGCAAGAATGCGACCAGCTCTGGGAGTCCCGGATCTATAGTGGACTGGTTATGTACTTCCTTGCACCATTTTGTTTCAGCGCAAACTTCAGCATGCTTCAGTAAATTGTCTGTCTCATCAAATTTTCTACTTAAACCGAGTCTATTGCCAGCAGAACGATGTGAGATCACCCCGTAATCTTGGCTTTCTAAGTCAAGAATAGAGGGAAGCATGTCCTGGTAGCCCTGTTCCTTCAACTTCCTCATCCTGTAAGAACTTTGAGGTTGACAAGCTAGTGATTGCGTTTTTAATCCAGAGTTTGGTCGGTGGAAATGAAGTTATCTGTTCTGGGATTTTTGTCTAAACCTGTTAGGAAACACAAAGTGGACAGAGTGATTGTCGAAAGGCCTGAAAAGGCTTTTCCTTGTAACCATGTTCATGTTGCTGGCACACAACATTTATTACTCTTTCAAACAGGCTAGTTCTGTAGTGCAGTATAATGTAGACTTCTATTAGTATTGCATAGATATACACGTGGATCAATCTAACTATCGATTTGAGCCGACCTTCATAAATTTCTTTGAGGAAATGAACATATTTGTGCAGTACAAGCAAACACGCAGGAGGGTAATGCAGAGGCAGAACCTTAGTCCGCAATTGTCTTCATAGGCCTAAGTACCAACCTATTGCATACTGAGGATGCCAAATGGAACTCAGGCCAAGCCTACCCGCTGCAACCTTTCAAAGATTGAATGTTGAATGAACAAGAATAAAAAGCCCCGCATCCTTATTGTCAATGTCAAAGAAAAGATGATAGAGAGAAACTGCACCGGGCATACAATCAGAAGCGAAAATTCCTTTGGCAGCTATTGTTGATCTGGTTAGCACTAGTTAAATCATCACGAGAGCACAAGATCCTTCCAATGCCATAATGTCAAGACCTTTTCTTTCCCTTTCTATAACCAAGTTTCGTACTTTTCTCATCTTTCGGCGTGTGAACTTACAAAGGTAAGACCATTGTCATGAACCAGAAGGGTCTCTTTACACTTTAGAATAGATGTCACCCATATGGGAATGAGTACTCGTAACAATAAATAGCGCATGACCCTTCAAGCAGGTAGGCTCTTGCTAGATACATGATCATCGCCAGAAAGGAAATTGATTTGCATGACAACCTAACAAAGAGCAAAGAGAGATCTACAAAGTACGATGTGTAGGGTTCATCAACAGTAACAACGCAGCGGAATATAGAACCCTAGACAGGATCCATGCGTATATTGAAATCGAAAAGGAATTTCGATACGTACCTTTTGCAGATCAAAGAGAAATCAGCAACTGATTGTGTCTGGATGAGCGCCCCAAGTGTTGCGCCTCTACCGGTATCCACACACACGAACGGAATTCTCCAACGATCCACGTGCTAGCGAAAGATCTTGAAGTTCCTTTTCTTGAACGCCTTTTGATTTTCGATACTCTATCGAAAAACCCTAGACAGAGAACGATTCTCTATCTATTTATACAGCCTCATTATCTAGCGGAATTAAAAGGAGTGGGCCGGGCTATTTGGGCCCACCAAACCGTCCACCATTCAATCGTACGTTTAATCGTTATCTCATAACGCGTACGACCGCATAGATAATTTAAATAGGAGAATAAATTAAAATCCACTTCTTAAGTGATCAAGGCGCATAGACAATATTAAGTCCGTTCGCTATTGTGTGCGACCTTGTAGATTCACTAAACATTAGCAGTGTGCCCAAAACTCTTTTGGCCCACAAGTCATAAGCGGTCTCTAGCAACACATTATGACTACCTAAGTATAGTGAAGATCGGTTTTCCGACACAACCTAATCCACAACTAATATTAGAGTATCAACCTTGATTGATTCTTAGGGCAGACCACTAACAAAGAGCAAAGAGAGATCTACAAAGTACGATGGACTGCTGATTAAAACCAATCAGTTAATCTGAAGATGTTTATTCTGTCTTAGATGAAAGTGGAAACAGAAAAGAGCTATAATGAAGAACCTGAAATGGACTTAACAAGCAAAACAAAAAAAGAAAAAGAAAAATGCCGCAGTAGTTTGTCATCTCTATCTTACCATAGAAAAATCAAGAAGACGATGTAAGTATGAGTACACGAGACACCGACATGATCAGCTCAGAAACTTACCCTTGTCCACAGAGATAAACAAATGAATTTGGTATCATGAAAAAGATTCCTCCAATACGAGATTGTCCACAGGCCACCGGCCTCAATCTAAAAAAAAGGTTGGGGAAGGGCGAGAAGTTGATTGGCACAAAGAAAGACAACGAGGAACGAGCTGTGGAGAATGGAGTAAAATAGTTTAAGTGAATTGAAATGTGACCGAAAATTTTCTGGGCGAAGATTTGGATCGCATGACCAGCTCTTTCTATTCTAAACATCAGCAAAATCAGCTGAAACATCTTCAAATATGCTTGTGGACATGTTCTTTCTTTGCCCCTTTTACTGCAGTTGGGTTCTCATAAAAGCTCATGAAACTTAATTGGCTCTTATTGGTCCATTGTTCTTGAGCACAGTTGTTACAGATTTGATTGTACGAGGTCCTCCAAGAAACCCTCCTGCATTCACCACAGAGCTGGACACTTTCTGAGCATGACAGATCAACAATCTAAATGCAGTCCCTTTGTTGAGCAAGGCTCTTCAATGAAAAGTGCAGATTGAGCTATCCAATACTAGGTCATTAACCTTCCAATATAGCATAATCAATTAGGACATGGGTTCTGAAGAAACGAAACAGAGAAACCGAAAAGGAGGACCAGCTTCATTGATGCTGAAAGCACCGGCCGTGCTTTCTCAAATGGTCATGTGTAAGCCAGGATTAATTTTCTTGGATCAATATTTGATTTATATCAGTAAAGTTTTGTGACTGTGGAGACCAAAGATGTCTTCTTTCCCTTCTCTTTTAGTCTCTCTCTTCATTCCATCGCTCTCTTTCGGCTTCCTTCTCGTTAGTACTTTCGTCTTGCAAATTCAGGAATTCACAGTCCATTCATATTTGGGCTTCAGCTTGCCTTAATGGCATTCGACTTTGGCTTAAAGCGATGAAATGAAGCCCATGAAGCCCCCATTCACTAGGGGTGTGCACTGGGTCCAATTCACCCCAGAAACCGGACCGAACCGGCTTGGACCGACCGATTCGAGGCCCATTCTAGGGAGCACAAGTTCGGTTCCCAGTTTAAAGGTCAGAACTGCCGGTTCAAATTGGGAACCGGCTTAATTTGGTTCCAAATTGGTTCAACTAGTCCTGTTCCAGTGTTAAACCGGTTCCGAACCAATTTTAAAACTTCTTTTAGTGAAAAAAAAACTTTTGCATCCATAGAAAGTAGGGGTGAGCATGGTCCGGATGGGCGGTTTCCACCCTAGAACTGGAAACCGCCTACTAAGGATCGGCTCCAAAAAATTGAAATCGGAAATCGTCCGTTGGTTCATCGGATGGGTCCATAAGACCGATCCTCAATCCCTACGAAATTGCACGAAGCCCGAAAATTTTCCTTTAGGTGACGAGGAAGCAAGGAAATGGAAAGTGCAGAAGACATTCTTGTGAGGAAAGGGCCCCCTACATTTACCTGTGTTATTGAGATGATATCTAAAACAGTGTCGTGTTCATCACCGGCTGGATGCGAGCGATAATGCCATACTGGCAGGTACTTATGCCTCCTCAATTCAAACATTGAAGTGGGAGATTGTCATTATATTTACCTTTCAACGTGTGAGGACTATGTCTCTCAATATGATTTTCCAAACAACAGTTTTTTTTTTAATATATATATACCAGTCCGGTCCGGGTGGGCAGGTGGGCGGGTCCGCACATGGAATCGGGAACCGGACTAGTACTTACCGGTTCTAGTAAAATGGAACCGGGAACCAGACCGGTCCCCATGGGAACCGTTGGTTCTAGACCGGTCTGATCCGGTTTTAGGCGGTTCGAGCGGTTCCGAGTTTCTTTGCACACTCCTAATAGAAAGTCGAACATGTCTTCAATGGGGCTAATTTAAAATTTTTTTTTTTTACCTTGAATGATTATTCTGGCCCGAACCTTTTTTTGTCTGGTTAAAAAACACCAACTTTTACTCGAGTCCCAAATCTGCCCCCATGATGTGAATTTTTCAAATTGTTCGGGCCAGATTTGGGATTAATGTGAAAATTGGCGATTTTTTATGAGACAAAAAAAGTTTGGGTCAGAATTGTCGCTCAAGGTAAAGTTTATACTTTTTTTTTGGAATTAGGTGCTTCAAATGAAGAAACAACAATATATTTACTTGACCAACATATGTTTTTGTAGTAAAATACTGCAACTTTCGTTTTCTATAAAAAAAAATCATTTCTCATGAAACAAAAAGCGGACCGGTTCGTGTCTCCAAAATTTTAGAATCGGGAGTTATAGATTCGGTTCCCCGTTCTAGGTCATGAACCAATTCATTTGGGAACCGATTACCCCTACACATTACCATCTTTTTACTTGAAAGGACAATAATTTCTCTCAACACATGTTAGTAACTTATTGATAATAAGTTCTATTATCGAGTTAGTAACTTTGGAGTAATGATCACAAGGTTCATAGAAAAAGAATCATTATTGAAAATATACCGTTTGATTTCCAAATACTATAGAGACGGAGAGAGACATTAAGATAGAGCTTGCTCGAGATTTCAATGTAACCCTTGCTTGAATAAGTTCGTACACCAACAAGTATTTCTAATAATTCTCCTAAATTCCGAATGAAAAACAAAAACAAAACAAAGAAAAAGGAAAATTGAAAAAAAAAATAATTGAAACGAAAGGCCGACTTCTCAAAATCTACAGCACTGAAAGCGGACTCGTGGAACTCTTTGCTTCTTCAAGTATGGCAGTCCCTTCCCCTCTGGCTTTGGCATTTGCACTGGACTTCCCATCCATTCCCACCTTAATCTGCATCATTTCATGATCAACACTCCATTACACAAATGTTCACAAGTCACTTGATCCATGAGCTAGGTCAGATGGACCGGGCGCTATCACAACCATCGAGTTACATGGAGAAGTATGACATTTCAAGAACGACGATCGAGGCTTACACGGGGAAGGAGAAAGAGCCGCGGCCGCTACCGTCTGATTTAATGGAGTCTGTTCGTTCCGTCGTCTCCTTTCGGATGTTGCTTCCTTCTTTCTTGTCCTGTAAGATCATTTAAAAGAGGAAGGCAAATGAGTGAGCTCATGTAGTATGATAACACGTACGGTTCCAATGCGAGAGAACACGCAAATGCATGGGAATACGTCGCTTATAAGATCAAGAGTTGATCAACTTCTAGGGTTTATGAACTCGACCTTCTTATTCGAGCTTACGCATTCCTCATCGCCTCTCGATCCATTCCCTTCATCTTTAGACCGAGTATTCTTGACGACTTCGTTCCTTACTGTTTCCCTCTCACTGTGATCAAGCTGCTGTCGAGAAGATCAAGAAAAAATAAGATAGATATAGACTTCCCGAATGGAAAAATTTGAAAGACTTAGATCTTTCATGACGTACGTACTCTATCTAAATCACACGGGCGACAATGGAATGTACGTTTGATGCAATCATGTTATGGGGACGACCATTTTCATAACATCGGCCTATGCCAAGTATAATAACTTGCGTCATTTATTGTAACTTAAACTTTTGGAATAAACTTGGAGGGGCGCTGTACTGACCTCTCGGATGACGGGCCTTGGAGCAGTCAAGTTTGCGCCATCAAGCTGAGCCGACACCGACATCGATGCCGACGACTTGTCGTGGTTATCCTTGATGACATCGAATGCGCCATCCTCTCTGAAACAGAACACTATGTAGTCTTCATCCTCGGGAAGAATTTTCCTACTAGTCTTCTTGGTCATCACCGTTGCACCATCGCTTCTGATCTTGGCCATAGCATCACACGATCTCTTCTTCACGGTCGTGCTGCTTCTGCTCTCGTCTCTCTCATCAACACCCATCTCAGTCGTATTCTTCTTCTCTTTCTTCCTCGAAAACGAGGGAAAACTTCTGTAAGTCAAAACCATGAAAGCTTCATGATCACATATACATATATATATACATAGCAAAAGAGACATGAGGCCCAGTGTGTCTGTCTGTCTTGCATGCAATCTCGCAACTCTCGTGACTCTCATCATCCATGGATTGGACTGAACGGTACGTTGGCTTTGCGTTTCTGCGCGAAATCTCCTTGAATGAGGATGGCGATGTGAGAGAGAGAATAATGGTGGGATGGGATTAATGACGGCGAGAGAGAGGGAAATGCGCAGATATTTTGAATTTTGAAATAGTGGAAATGAATAGAGGAATTTGCAATGAATTCAGGCTGTATTTATTATATCAAACCTTGTGGTGAAAGCAAAGAAAAGGAAAGAAAGGCAGTGAAAGATGAACTGTCTCTAGTGACCGTTGCATAATCAATGTCTCATGAACAACGTTTCTATGCATTGTATACATACATAAGTCGCAACCGGTCGACTACATATCGTCGCCCGTACCAGATGCTTTGTGGGAAGTACTTTTCATGATAACTAATCTTGAGATATTTCACCAAAGTGAAAATCGACGTTTCACGTTTTTCGATATGCAAAATTTTGATTACCTTATCACTTTTTTTCAATTCTCAAGGGTTTTTCTAATTAGATATCATATATTGAACCATCAATTTTTCGCGTTGCGCGTACATGCATAAAAGAAATGGGAACATTTAGTTCTTTCTTAAGGGTTTTCAAGTCGCCATTAAACGGAGAAATAAAGTTCACTAGAGAGATGCACAAATTCAAAATTCAGTTATCATTTGAAATTTAATCTTTATGGGTTAGAGTGTGGAGAGAGGCACGCAGTCTGATGAGGGAGACAACGGACGGCCCAAAAACGGATTCAATATAGTGAACTTGGATCGGCCGATAAAACCTCACCTTGTCACCGGTTCGACCAGTTCCCGTGGCTCCTATGTTGATCATCAGGAGGTCGAACCAGAAAAAGACAGGTGTCAACCCGGTTCAACCATTTGAATATGTGCCACGTTCGATCAAATCATGGTGTTAAATTAAATGAACGGTGTTCCAAGGAGGAGGTTCAATCCCTCAGTCGGATCGTTGGACTGCTACAAAGGTGAACTCTGAACACGCGAACTTGACAGCGTCTCAAGACATCTCAGATCGATGAAAGAATATACCAACCAACCGGTCGAATTTGCACCATATATTAACCATTTTCGTGCTCTTGGTGATACGAATAGGGCCGGTTCAATCGGTCGAACAAGTTGAAATCGAGAATGAGCCCGCTCGTTCGGTGTGGTCATCGATACGATTTCCAAAACATTATCTCTCCCGTCGTATCATGAGCTTGGTGGTTAACAAATCATTAAGAAAGAAAAAAAACGACCCTCTTCTCACCTAACTTATCGAATGGAATCTGTTCCCAATTGTAAAAGAACAAAAGAAAAAGGACATGAAAAAAGTTTAGTAGATAAGTTCTTCTACCAATACCGAATCAAACAAAGAGTCCTCAAGTTGCACGTGGGTGCGTGGCAAAGTCTTTGTTTATGCCATCCTAGAAGGACATGAAAAAGGTTAATAATAAAGTCTATTTTTTTAATCAATTAAGATACGGACATTGAGATTGGACGATCTGAAATCTCATCAAACACCCCACAAATCCAATAAGTTGGTTAAGTTAAGACCTTTTGCTTATGCATGTGCCCCGGATTTAGAGCATTTGCACACTATTGGTGGGATTTGAATCGACTGAAAACGTTCAACCAATTGTGCAATCGTTGAAAAAAGTCCATGTTTTTTATTTTTCCTTTTTTGGCGGTCTTGCTTTCTTGAAAAATGAATTTTGGCCGGCAATCATGATAAGTTTAAATAATATGTTGTTCTCACACTGCAATCTCTGTTTTTCTCTTTCAAAGAATTCAATCATGGGATAAATCCAAAAGGAGCAGTCGGCATAGACCAGTTTGTTTTAATCCATACGTCCTCAAATTAAATTTTTTGGTTAATTTTTTTTAACTTTTCGATATTTGGATGACGGAAAACTAATTGATGTTCAAAAACGTTGATACGTTTGTTTCTCAAAAAATTTCAAGATAAAAGAATATATTTTTCATGAAAATCATTTTCAAGGAAAAAAAGGTTAGTTTCCATTTATTTGATGGTTTAGGGAAAGTGTTTTCCTTCTTGCCAGAAAGGGAGGTCGTTTTCTCCTAATTTAAGTTTGTTATTTTAGTCAGGATAATTGTCAAAAAAGTCCTAAACCTATTGCACTTGTATAAATTCAATTTTAAATCTTTCAATTTGATCAATCTAACCTTAAACCTTTTAACAATTTGTCAATGAAGTCTATTCGATCAATTTTGGCCAGAAATCGCCGACATGGATGCCGACCATCCTACGTAGCATGACCAGTGCTGACGTAGACAATTTTTGCAATTTTTATTTTTTATTTTTGAATTTTTTCCCTTTTCTTTTCTTTCTTTTTATTTTGGGATATGTTCACTAGAAGTCCTAAAACTTGTCATCAAAGTGCAATTGAGTCCTAAAACTTGCAAAAAGTGCAATCAAATCTTAAAACTTGTCAAATTGATTCAAATGAGTCCTAAAGTTAACACCGTCAAATTTATTAACGGAAAATACTGACGTGGCGCTAACGTGGCTTATTTTAATATTTTATTTCTCATGTGTGGCGATGACGTAGCTAAAACGACGTCGTTTTGGCCAAAATTTGATTTTTAATACTATTTTTATTTAAATTAAAATTTTAAAAAAGATAAAATAACAAAAAAGAAAAAAAAGGAAGAGGATAGGCGGGGTGGGCGGGCTTACCCTCCCCGCCGCCCCACCATCTCTGCGAGGGGCCAGCAAGGGTGGGGAGACGGCTGGCGAGGTCGCCGGGCCCCGGCTAGGGCCAGCGACCCTTGCCCATATCTGGGGGAGGGTCGCCAGCTCTCACCCAGACTTGGCTGAGGGTCTCCAGTGGCGGCCCTCCCCCAGATCTGGTGAGGGTCGGCTGTCGCTGGCGACCCTCGGCCAGGTCTAGGTGAGGGCCGACGACCCTTGCCAGATCTGGGGGAGGGCTTATAGGCCCTCGCTTGCCGTCGGTGAGGGCCGCCGGCCCCTGGCCGGGGCTCGGCGACCCCTGCCTGCTGTTCCTTCATCCTTGCCAGCCCCTCCCGGCGATGGTGGGGCAGCGGCGGGGAGGGCAAGCCCTCTCTCCCCGACTGTCCTCCTCTTCCTCCTTTTTTTAATTATAAATTTAATTAAAATAAAATTAATATTAATATAAAGATAAAAAAGTCACGTCATTGCCACGTATGATATAAAATAATAATAAAAAAGCCACGTCAGTATTTTCCGTTAGTCAAATTGGACGGTGTTAACTTTAGGACTCGATTGAACCAATTTGATAAGTTTTAGGACTCGATTGCACTTTTTGCAAATTTTAGGACTCAATTGCACTTTGATGACAAGTTTTAGGATTTCTAGCGAACATATCCATTTTATTTTTTTTAAATGAGGTTGGTGTCTGCCACTAGCATTGGGTGAGGGTTTCGCAGACCTCACCAGATATGGGTGAGGAGTTGCGAGCCCTCAAATGTGGCCGATGATGGTGTCCCAGCCCTCGCTTGTGGCTGGTGACCTCCACCAGCAAACATCAAGGCCATGGACCGGCGGAGGGAAGTAAGAGAGAAAGAAGTAAAAAAACAGGAAAAAGAAAAGAAAAGGGGAAATAGGACAAAAAATATTATTAAAAAATTATCTACGCTATTGTCGGTAATGGCACGTATGACGACCAATATCTACTGTGGCGATTTTAAACCAAAATCGGCCAAATAAATTGTCAAAAGATTTAGGATTAAATTGACCGAATTGAAATTTTTACGACAGGATCGACACAAATACAATATGTTTGAAACTTTTTTTGGTAATTTTCTTATTTTCGTACATCAATTAGTTTTCCATCATTCAAATAATCGAATGTCAAAAAATAATTTTCTGAAAACTGTTTCCTGCCAAACATACGGGTTCGCGTCTTATATAGTAAGACTTTTTGTCAAGATAAAGTAATCCCATCTTGTATTCACTCCCTATCAAATTTTTTTTTTTGGATCAAATGCGAATTCTTATTTATATCACAAACTGGACTTAGCCAACAGGGCCCAAGCAAGGGGCGGTGTTACGTAACAGTGCCAAAAGGGCCTGAGGAGAGGAATAGAGGCAGTCAGATGGATTCACGGCATGTACAATGCAATCGCACCTCCTTCATACTCAATTACAATAAAAGGGTCATAATGTCATAGATTGATTCACGATATTTTTGTTCTTAATTACGGACTCCATGCATAAAATGGCAACTGCACAAAAGAGATCATTTGAACAGGGGCTGCCGACCAATCATGGCGATGGCGAGGACAAATACGGTTCTAATTTTTCTTTTATGCGAATAAGGTTGTCGTTTTCTTCTTCCTTTTCCTTTGGCAGTGTCTGTCAGTGTCAGTAGTGAGTATTTAAGGTGGGTGCTGATCGTGACTCATTGGGTACTCGCTCCTGACAGACGCACACGGGCGTTGCAGAGAGAGAGAGAGAGAGAGGGAGAGAAGGAGGGAGGTGGGGAGGTGGCGGCGGCGAATGGGGTGGGCGATAGCACTGCACGGAGGAGCAGGGAATATCCCGCTGTCCCTGCCGCCCGAGCGCCGCCTCCCGCGGGAGGCCTGCCTCCGCCACTGCCTCCAGCTCGGCGTCGACGCTCTCAAGTCCAAGAAATCGCCGCTGGACGTCGTCGAGCTCGTGGTAATTTGATTTGCGCTAGGTTTCTCTGTAAGCATCGCTCTTACGTGTTTCGCGATGGGTTAACAACTAAGTTCTTTTAGTTCGTGGGTAAAAGAAAAAACCCGGAAAAAAAGTTATCTTTTTGAGCTGATTGGAGAGTTGTGCTTGTAGATTTCAAATGACCCATCTGGTTTCTTTGTTCTTGTTTATATTTTTGTTGTTTTTTGGGTTTATGATGGTGTTCATAGCAACGTAGTCCCGGGCAAATGAATGATCCGCAGTTTAACATCGTACTGAACTTTGAACTTATGCATGTGTCCGTGTGCTCTCTCTCTCTCTCTCTCTCTCTCTCTCCTGGTGACACTAGATCTTCCTGTGACGAGAAGATTTAGTACATCAAATTGGGTAGTGATG